ACTAAGTCTTCCTATTTCTTACCCATCAGGATGACCGATTCTTTGAACAAGTTGACAAGAATGTACATCCAAAAAATAATCAGATTACATAGAGTGCGAGTAACAGTAGTGTCCGACAGAGAACCCAGGTTCACTTCTCGGCTCTAGTCTAGGTTCATCAAACCATGAGAACGAAACTGTCCCTTAGTACTATATTCCACTCTCAGACTAATGGACAGTAAGAAATAACGATCCGCACACTTGAGAATATACTCCAAGCTTGTGTTCTTGACTTTGGGGGCTATTGGGACGATCATCTACCCCTGATAGAGTTCGCCTCAACAATAACTACTAAACAAGTATTGGCATAGCTTCGTATGAGACATTGTATGGCCGCCCATGCAGATCGCTAAATTATTGGGAAGAAGTGGGTGATAGAAAATTGTTCGGTCTACATCTCGTAGAGGAGACTACAACTAAAATAGTTAATATCATGAAGAGCATTCAGATGACTCAGAGCAGACAAAAGAGTTATGCGAATACTCAGATGAGAGATTTAGAATTTGAAAAAGGCAATCAAGTCTTCCTTAAGGTCACTCATTTAAAAAAAAATCAGTAGGTTTAGCAATAAAAGAAAACTAAGCCCCCAGTTTATCGGGTCACTCAAGATCATAGACAAAATTGGTATCATCGCTTACGGACTGACACTACCTCCTGAATTTTCAGGGTCCATAATGTGTTTCATGTGTCCATACTATGCAAGTACAATTCGAACCCCCTCTCATGTCTTGGCCCGCGAGTCACCTTCACTCTAAAAGGATCTGTCATACGAGAAAGTACCGGTCGGTATTGTGGACCAAAAGAGCAGATTACTCTGCAACTGGAAAATTTCTTTCGTTAAGGTCATGTGGCAGAAGCACACACCGAGAGAAGCCACATGAGAGCGAGAATCAGACTTCATAGCCCAATATCCCCAGCTATTTGATTGAGAGTGAGAGAGACAAATTTGAAGGACAAAATTTCTTTTAAGGAGGGGAGAGTTGTAATGCCCAAATTTATTTAATTGTAAATTAAATTAATTATAAATATAATTTTTTAATTTTAATTTTATGTAAAAATGAAGGAAATGTGATGGATGATGAAATTGAAAATAATTTTGGGAAAAAAGATGAAAATTTAGTTTCTATGGGTATTTTTAAAAGAAAAATCAGAAACCGGAGGTTAAAATACAATTTAGAAAATTTTTACTACGTAGATGCCCGGTCAGCAGCTCCGACGAACCAGGACGCGCGACATGGCAACGGACGCTGACGTGGTGCCACGTAAGAGGCCCACGTGGGCAATCTGCGTGCCCATGATCGAATGGTCCAGATTAGTTTCCCGTGCGTACAGACGGTTTGGATGCGTTCCCTCCCCAAACATGATCGAACGGCCAGATTTAAACGTGATCAGATGGTCCAAGTTAGATCGCGATGAATGGCCCATATTAGATCTTGATAAACGGTCCAGATTCCATTCCTATTTAATTGCGATCAGACTGTTCAGATCGAACGTGATGGATAGCTCAGATTAAATAGAGACGGATATAAATAACTCCATTCACACTAAATCCTAACCCTAGCTGCCAGCCACCCTCACCGGAGAAGAAGACGCACCCACTGGAAAGGAGAGCCGCCGCCACCTGTCGCCGCGCCAGAGCTATTTCCAACCGCCAAAAGAGGTAAAAAAAATTTTTTTGCTCGAAATTCAATTTTAGACACCCCCGTGGCCAAATTGGAGCAAAAGAACCGCTCAATTGGCCGAAAACTGCAGGCAAAGTCCGGCAGCCCCGTCGCGGGGAATTTCAGAAAACGTCTCCAATAAGGCTATTCTCGATTCTCGTTCGGCGTAATTTTTCTACCGTTGTAACCATCGTTTCCTTCTCTACAGGTTAACTGCAGCAAAACACCCAACCACACGTGATTCGGAGGAGTCGTCGCACCAAAGAGCTCTGTTGCCGGTGAGTTTCGAGTTTTTATATTTTTTGGGCCAATCAAGATCCCTTAACATATTTTCTCGCATGGATCGATGCAAAATTAGCCAAAAATAGCTGAGCTAAGGTGGATCACCATTGTGGGTGGCAACATTGACGTCGGAGCATGACGGAGCCATTGTGCTGAAATTCCATAATTGGCTAAAATTAGACCCTGAGGCTGATTTTGGATTTTTTTGTGACATTATTAGGTACTTATAACACGTTTTAATTTTTGAAAAAAAAAAATTCAGAGAACCCGGGGACCGCCAGTAGGCGCAGTCAACAATTTAATCTTTCGGGCATCAAATTGAGTAAGAATCTCTCACCTTATTTCCTGTTATAGAATTGAAGTTTAACTAATAATAATATGGTATTTTTTATAAATTAAAAAATATTCGTAATTAATTACATGTTACTAATGGATGTGGAACCGGTTACTTATTACTGTTTACTATGTTTAATTGATTGCCTGATTTTACAATTTGAATGCATAATAATATCTGATTTATCGATTTTATGATCTGAATGCATGTATTGATGTCTTACGTTACTACTGTTAGATTAAAAAACTGAGATATGATTGCATTCCCTTATGCATATTTGTTTGTTTATGTGATTATAGTTGAATTTAAAAATGGAAACTAAAAAAAAAACATGAAATTATGTGATTAAGTAAATTGATGAAACGACAGGTTTACTGGATATCTTAAGATATGGCGGACGGATCGGGTACAATAAGGAATCCTACCATGAATGTTGTCTCATACCGGACGGGGTATCGAGGCTTGGTAATTTGGTGTTCATACTGGACGGGGTATGGAGACAATTCGTTTTATCCTAATACCGGATAGGGTATTAAGGTTTAGTAATTTGATACTCATACCATACGGGGTATGGGGACAACCTATTAATTGAGAATGTTAAAGAAAATTGTTCACGAATAGTAGGAATATCCCTATGAACCCCCATGGATACTAGCAGTCTGATAGAAAGTGATAGTTGTTGTTTCGATTATTTGAATATGAAAGTATAATATGTGCTATGTTACCGATTACATATGAAATCATGATATGTATAGTGTTGTTGTTTTTATATGTTGTTTTTGTAAATCTCACTACGGTAAGTGGACGGTAAATGATTTTATTATTAATAAATGCATTTGTTTAATTAAGTGCTCCATTTATTGTTTTGATTTTCTACCAATCTTCATTTCTGTGTCAATGAGTTGGCGTTATATTCTTATTGGGATAGTGTAACTCATTCTTTATTTAACCATTTCAGATCAAGAGAGCCAAGATCCAGAGTCCGATCCGCAAGAGGGTTGCGAGTAGGATACTAGTTTCATTTATTTTTTGTTCATTTCCTTATTTCGTTGTATTTCTTTTAAAAATGTAATTCCCGTATCACTATTTAGTAATTTAAGTTATTGTGTAAGGAATGTAAACTTTAACCATTTATTTCACTTTCACATTTAAGTTATAATTTATTTCGTTAGACATTGCGAAGTCGTTATGTATTAACACTATAAATATTAGACATTTTAAAAATAGAGATCCTTAAGTTGTCATTATATTACTTAAACTATATCTTTTCTATATTAATCTATTATTAATTTTGAAGTTAGAATAATCTCGGTATTGGAATGATCTATTTTGCCAAAGGGTTATTGTCATTGTTGAAGTTACATGACATAACTGAGCTCACTCATATTTATCATAGTACATTATTTCATATGTTATATAAACTTTTTATTTTTAGAGTTTGTAATTTTCACTCTAGTATAAGATTTCAATTTATTAGATATTATAGCTTTTGTGAGGTTTTTTTTTTTTCTTCCCTATTCATTTACTTTTGCAATTATTATTATTATTTTTTATTTTGAAATTAGAAGGATAAGGTTGTAATGGATGGCATACATGGAAGTCCATATTTGATATGATTGATTTACTTGATTCATTACACCTTTAATAAATTAAATATTAAAAAATTAATTTTCATTTAACACAAAATTAAAATATATATTATGTTATAATAAGAAAAAATTATATTATTTTTTATTATGTTCTAAAGATGATAAATAGTCAATTTTACAACAAAAATATTGTAATATTTTAAATTATAAATGCTATTAGTATACTATTTTAATTATTAAATCTTATTGTAAAAATCAGAAATCAAGATGATGAATAAAGTTTAGTTAGTAACAAAATCAGAATTCAACACAACCTTTTTACCAACATTAATTTTAATAAAATCAAAATTCAACTCTAAGAAAATAGTCATAGATTCTTATAATTGCACATTTAGGTGCCATTATATATATATATATATATATATATGTATGTATATGTATATGTATATGAGTTAAATATAATTAGCTGTCACCTAGAGATTATAACTTGTAAGAAATCAGAACATGACATGATGATGTTTTCAAAGATGTGGATTTTCCTAAATTGACCAATCTCACATTCCCACCTTGCCAAATCCAAATGTTTTTTTTTTTTAATTTTTTTAAAATTACTGTGGTGTATTACAAATTTGACCAAATTTAAAAGAATTTAAATTAAAAAATTCTTAATTATTTATTAATTATGCTATTAAATTTATTATAATTTAATAATTATTCTCAAATTATTGTGTTTGTTACCCCCAAAAAAAAACCCCCTTTGTTGATCCCTAAGAATACCAAAACCAGTTCTGCTTCAGCAGAAGCTAAAGCTGGGAAGGAAGATTCTAACATATTCTTTTTCATTCCAACTTTTTAAAGTTTTGAGAAATTGTAATTAAAAAGATTTAAACCATTTTAATTAGTACTAATCAGATGATTATAATTAATTACAAACAAAAGCATGGATCCCATCAAGTTCAAGTTGAAAATTAATAACCCAAGAAAGATGATGATGATGATGGTGATAATATATAGTTACTAGGGGAGAAAGAGAGACCCAAAATCAAGATTTTCTTTTGTACAAATTGGAATTTTCTCAGGAACCAAACAAGGGTATACACACATACATACATACATATATATATATATGTATAATTACATATAACCCAGACAAAACAACAAAACCCATATGCAGAATCTATTCAAAAACAGAACAAGAACATGAAACCAATAGAGTCTAAAGTAATACCCACAGAGAAATCAAAGCATCCCATGAACTTGTTTTTATGTTTTCCAGAAACTCCTACAATCTCTCAACTTTATGTAGATGAGATATGCAACTTTTGAAAAAGGAAACCTGCTAAACTAAACCGTTTCAAAATAGGAAACAGAAATTAATATTATATATCTCACACTAACGCTAACGGAAATCGAGGTTTCATCGGCGGAATATCCTACCTCGATCTACGCTTACCGGACTTGGCCGCCGTCCGACGATTATTTCCTTTAGGTTTGTTTCCAAAGGCGTTGCAAAACCCACATGCAGAGACTCTGGGGGAAGGCGGTTCTATCGCCGGAGACACCTTGCCGGTGCGGTAGCCTCGTCCTCCGCCGTTGGATCGGCTTCTATCGATGGTCCTGATTGGTTCAAGTCCTCTGGATGGCTTGCCATCTTTGACATCAACCGATTCCTGCTGTGAAATTTCTTGGCGTTGATTTAATTCTTGTTGCTGCTGCTGCTGCTGCTGATGATGATGATGATGATGATGATGATCTTCTTCTTCTTTTTGCTGATTGGCTACTTGATTCAGCTCGCCTGAGATGAACCGATCATCCCAAACTAGTCCTGAAGATCCCTGCCTCCTGAACGAAACTGCGGATCTCTGCAGACCAGCCATGGAGGAGACTTTCTCTCTTTTTTCTCTCTAGAAATTTTCTTGGGAGCCAAACGTGGTTTTCTCTAAGCCGTTAGCTGCAGAACATGACAGTTTTGTCAAGCACATGTATTTATTTACAGAGAGAAATGGTGGAGAGTGGAAGATGACAAAAAGATATTGCGGAGAGCGAAAAAGTCAAAACAAGGCAACTCGGTCAACATTTTCCTGAACTAATTTACTTCAACTGCTTCTTCCTTTATTAATTTTTAAATATTAAAAAAATTAAATAAAACACAAATTTATAATTACTTATTTATTTATACATAAGTTTAATGAATACTTTGGCATTTCCACCCACATAATTTATTTGAATTTCTTCTATTATTATTATAATTATATCTCAAATATTTGCTGTCTTTTTTGTTAATTAGTGGGTGTGTATTATGTATATACATATACATATATATATATATAATTATATTTTAAAAAAATAAAAATAGAGAGAAATTCCCGCATGCCTTGTAATCTAAATCACCATCATTTAAATTTATAGTGATTTTTGGCAATTCAACATCATCATTAGAAATCATATTATGTTTTCAAATATATAATTTATTATAATTTAGATAATAAATAAGTACAAACAATAACATAAAAATACAATATTTTACGTAAAAAAAATCTTAAAATAAAAAAAAAAATTACGAGTCAAAATATAAATAAAATCCCATCTTATATTATATAAATTAAAATATAATATTATATCATACCCTTATGATATTTTATTCCATAATTTTTTATCATAATCTTATATGTGTGTGTATATATATATATATATATATTCTAATCATGGTCGTATTGGTGTGTGATTGTTGGTATACAAATAAGAGCCATGATCTCAATTCAATATATCTAATTATAGCCATAATATTCACATAGTGACTCCCATTCAAACATCTCATATGTTAATTTGCTTTCACTCCAACTTTGTATCACATATACTTTTAATCATATATCAA